CTATAATTTACGGTTAAAGTGTCGAAGATTGCAGAAGTCATCAAGTTAAGCCTACAGCACAATGAACTTATCAAAATCTGACAATAATCTGACCAGTATATTTTTAAAATAACTAAAAATAACTTTATTAGGTCATTGTTATAACATTTTAAAATTAGTTCTTTATTAATGAAATAAATATACATACGATTCCCATTTAAACATTAGAAACATGAATTTCAGAGATGCGATCTTTTTCCAGAGAATTTATTTCCAAACTGCGCAATCACATATATATGAAATGATAAATGATGATGTGTGTGTATGCACAGATAAAAGTCTTGTAAAATTAATAAGTTGGCAATGGATTATAATGCGAATGGAGAAAAATAATTAAAATGTTTTGTTACAATAATTACAGGTAATAGTGGAGTGAAATGGAATGACGTGGTGTCAGAAACAGTGGTGATTAAAATTATGAGTATATGAAAAAAATAATTAAAGAGAAATGGGGACTTTATCGAATATGAAAAATAATAATAACAGTTTAAGACCATGGTAAAGATAGTGATAAGATGTAATTTATTTGTACGCACAGTTATTGGTTAATCTCAGGGATGGTTAGAGTCATATTTGTTTTAATGAGTTGGATGCAACGATATCTAGGTAGATTTGAATAAATTTTATAAACAACCTTAAAAGCAACTTGTAGATAAGTGGTTTGACTGAAATCAATTAAATGTTGAAGAATGGAATTTCTGACTGCTGTCCTCTCACTATTGTAGCATCACACTTAGACATGTTCTTGTATTATAGTTGAAATCAAGCTCTAGTTAGGGTCTATGTGTCTTGCTACACAAGAGCGGTTGAATCGGTATATGTACATAGAAGTGGTTCGACGAGGAAGCTTAGGCTTTACGGATACAGAAAACTAGTTTCTACCAGTAAACGTTATTCACAGTTTTATTGTAGAAAACGTTCATTTTATCGATACCCTTAACTGGTTTGTATATACATCAGAAGAGAGAAACGGACCTAATGGATTTCTTTTTCCAAATTTCTTTTATGTTCATCATTGTGGAGCGGCTTGGGTAACCGCTTTCAGACAATGTTTTTCTGGAGGAATCCAAGTTCATTATCAATCCGTTCATTGCTACATACGTTTTGTTTGTTTATTGTATAAGAATTCCCCACTCCTCTTTTTCATGTCCTCACGGTAGTAATACTTTTATAATCCCGTATTTTCGCATATATATATATATATATATATATATATATATATATATATATATATATATATACGATTGTACAATTCGATAAAAATTTGTCGAAAATAGATTTCTTTGCTAAACATCGTGCTTTTAAATAAATATGTATCGTAGTTGAAGGATTTGTAAAGAATAGAATAATGTGGTTGATGTGAACCTGCTTGTAAAGCTACTTTGTAAATGTAAAAATTTTAATTCCAATATCTAAAGCAAACATAAACGATAGACGCTAGTAGGAAATGAACGCACAGTTCTCGCATACTTTGATTACGGTGTTTAACAATGGCTAAGGTTATAAAATTCGTTAAATCTTTCGAAAGCATTCATTATTTTATTATATGCTTACAAAACTATTTTCACGTACTATTCACTGTTTATTAAGTCTGACAACTATATTTTAGATCAATAAACTTTACCTTCATTAAAACAAACGTAAATAGAACTTGATCAAGTTATATTCGATACTGTCTCATACTCTGTGAATGAATTTCTAGATTAACTTTATATTATTCACTCACTCACTTTCCTCTCTCTTATAATGTGTAAATCAAATCATTTTGTGTTGAAATAACATCATTGATACTAAACTATCCACAATTCATTGATTTTCTTCATTATCAATGTATGAGTTCGAATGTTTTGCTACATTTTCTGTATTTTTCTGAAAAACATTTCATGACAATCAAATTATCACATGTTATTCAATTGAAATAATAATCAAGTTATATAAATTGTTAACAAGAAGCAATCATAATCAACTATTTAATTGAATTCATATTATTCTTTCGTTTGTTTTAACGAGACAGTAATAACATTTGACAAATTGTTTTCTTTTCTTTATTTTTTTATAAATGAATAGAATATTTCTAGTTTACTTATTCTTTTAAATCTATTCTGTTATGTTATAAATGACATTTCATTATATAATACTAACTTGTTAAACTATATAATTATACATTTGAAAATCATTTGATTGTTGGATTATATAAATTGGTTATTAAAGATATGATTAAATATTGCTATCATTTATCTTGTTGAAAATATAAAAGTGATTTTTTCAGTTATATGCAATGTTTCTAGGGAGAATATGTTTTTTTTAGACAATGAAATCGTATTACATGGTAGAAATATTAATGTGATGATAATAAAGTAAAATTTATAAACGTTCACTTATTTCATGAATGAATTTGTGTGATAATATCCTTTTCATAATGACTAAATACTAAAACAGTACTTCAGAAGTTTAAAACAGTGGGAAAATTTATTAAAGGAAATAAATTTCGATCATTTCTTAGTTTACATCCACTTGTGATATATATCCATGTTGGATGTGAGATGGTTATTCACCTCAGACAACGGATGCAACGTTGCGCAAGTTCATCTATCCACTGGTGTTAGATATTAACATTGTTGGATGATGAATCAGTGATCTAGAGGTGAAGCATTCGTGCGCGAGACCTAAGGTCTTGGGTTTGAGTTCCGTTTGAGGTATCGTGGATGCGCACTGCTGAGGAGACCCGTGCAAGGACGAGAAGGCCATAAAGTGCTTCCAGGTTTTTAACGGTAGTCTAGTTTACATTGTCTGATGAATTCAACTGTTACATTATGGCAAATTTAAGACCTAATCAGCTAAAGGATGGATACTAACAAATTTTTCATAAAATTATAAATTGATCTCAATTTTATACTAAGCAGACAGAGCTACTGACTACGTTTTTCAAAGTTAGACCTATCATTAGAACGGGTCATAGGAACGACATTTAAATAGATGCTTAATTAAAATTGAACCGAATACCGAGTATGCGTGTTTCGTCCTTTTTAAGACCCATCAGTTGGATGTGTGAAGTAGCGTTACCCACTTATCTACTGAGTCCAGATAGCCACTGGCTTGTGAAATAAGGCGAATTATATAATTTTTAAGTATTGGTTGTTCTAATTTTTGCAGTGATGTTTTGAACTGGAAATGATTGGTCTTTTTTGGCATATGTGCATGATAAGCGTATGCTTCGGTATTGCCATGAAGTCATAAAGATACTGAGTAGAGTTGAATAGTGACTATCAGCGCATTTCTTCCTATTTCAAATTCGTCATTTGGATGAAAATGCATTTCGGAGTTGATGTTAAGTCAAGGACTCGGACCTTCAACTGTATATTGGACGTGAATTCCTGTCAGTCAACACATAAAGTTTTAATACTCAATGAAATGTTGTTAAATCGGATTTAGTGCATCAAAGTACTTCAGATAACAGATAACTCCTGTAGAATCGCCATTTAGTATGATATCCGAAGTCATAATTTCGTGCAGTTTGTTTCCAACCAACTAAGATGTCACACAATGTACGATTGCTTAATGTGGTGTGCAAATCAATAATCAACCTATAATTTGGAACATCTCCAAAATATAGCCTACATGATATTAGTTAATACTAGGTGGTTTCTGTATATTTCTTTAATGAGCATCGATTCATTCAACATTTAATTAATTAACAAATGTTGTGAACTTATTTTCGATTTATTACATTCTTGTATCTTGATAAATAAAAAAATTAGGTTTCCATTTTAGTCATCCCGTTGGTAACTAATGACTTACAGGTACAATAAAGACAAATAAACTATTATATAAAAGTTCATTAACTCATATATTTAGTATTTATTTTATGTAAATTATATAAAAATTTCATCATTTTGCAAATAGACTATTGAAGTGTAAGAAACAAATCTCAAATGATGAAATTAACTTTTTATTAATAAAGTAATATAATTCATTTTTACCCCCCACTATATTCTATTTACTTTAATTTACTACATGAAATCAGTACTATTCATAAAATGATATTTAGTTTATGAAATCAATTTGTTAAATGATTAATTCATTGTCAAATACTTCAAAAATAAATGTTCTTTGAAAGCTACAAATTTAAATTCATGGTAAACTTCAGGTACATTTGTCTATTTTATAAAATAATTACAAGGAAGATATTTTATTCTTAAACAATATTTCTTTAATATTTTTTTTCCTTCTTTTATTATTCTACACAAACTTTTATTTAAATCAAATATTTCAAGTTTAATTAATGTGTTCATTAAGTTAAATTGTTCTTAATCACTGTCAAATGAAAACAATTCATATGTGTTCAATAAATCTATTTAAGATCTAATTTAACTGATCAAATAAAATAACTGTGCAACAAAAGGTAGAGTTACTAGCAAATACACTGAAAACAGATACATTCAAAATTAAATTCTATGCGTTTCTTAACTAATTTGCATATGAAATAACCCACTGAATTATATATATATATATATATATATATATATATGGATAGATAAAGAGTATAAAACATGACCGTAGTTGACCGATCAGACTAAGAATAACATAGTGTTTAATTCTCTAACATTCTATTGGATACCATCAAGTACATAAAATCGATTCTCTTCAAAGCAAAAGGCATAATACTCGAATGGTTTATTTTCTAAATGAGTCATTTAACTAATGGAATATAAAACCTGTACATCTACTAGAACAAAAGTAAAATGATCAAATTTTTATAATTATGAAGACTATTTAAATAATGAAGTTTGGATAAAGTTATTATTACTGTAGATATGCTTAATAAACAATTAAAATAGCATTTAGTAAACAAATATTATAGAACAGAATTGATTTATTATTTTAACTATTTATCATAGTTTGAAAACAATGAATATTCATGTTGTGCCTAAAATCCTTTTTCCCAATAAAAAATATTATAGATTATCACCAACACAAGTATCACAAACATTAACAATGACAACAGAACAACAACAAGAAGATAAAACAATTAAAAATTCCGATGAACCTCAACTAGTTACTAATAAAGAAGATGATACACTTTTTGAATATTCAAAAGTTAGTGAAGTTGAAACTGTTTCAAAAGACAAATTACCAAATTCATTATCACAAATTTCAGTTAATACTCAACCATTGAATGATTATGATAAATCACAAGAGGCAACAAATTCAACAGGTAAGCAATACAAAGAATAATTGTTAATTATTTAATATATTTTATAGTCGATTTATTCATGTATAAAATAACTATCAAACGATTACATTTTGTTACGATTGATATTCTTTTTCACCATACTGATATACATGATGTCATGGGCTGATTTCATTTATCAAAAATAAAAATCAATATCAAGTTGCTATTTTGTCTTGGTTTGATTTACGTATCTGTTATTTCATCCGTAATCAGAGTCAGGATATTCTGACTTCATAGTGAACACAATAGCTTTAGGTTATCAAGTAGATTTACACTCGAATCATTCTATCAAACATGACATTCGTAAACAGTTGGACGGTAGAAGAAAACGTTATTTATTTATCAACAGTAGATACAAGCTTAATCTAACTCGAATCGTATATATGTGTATCTATGATTAACGTGAAATAACAAGCTACTTAACTGAACTAGTTATCGTCAACAAAAAACTAGCTACTTTTAAACATGTGTGGTCAAATACCTGCCATTATTTCTAGCACTGTAGAATTACACCCTTGTAACAAATGAAATATTAAAATGTGATATTAGAAAATCATAGAATGCTAATTACGTTTTGGAAATAAACAAATGCGTTGTCTATTGAGCAGCCCTTCTTTAAGAAATAGATATATATGATGGTTACTTTGAGGCTTAGTAAATGTTCATCGAGTACAAAGGCTTAAGAGGCAAGCTACTTTGTATGGTACTTCGATGTTTAATAACAAATTAGGAGAAGAATTTTTACTTTATTATTGTTGATAAACTTTCATCGAGTATGTCAAATATTCGGAAGCATTTATATATCGTCGACATTATATATGGTTATATTTGTTATAACTTGTCGTTTGAATGCTCATTGTCTTGGTTCTTTCAATGCCACATTTTGTATCTGGTCGTCGTTGATTATTATGTCGGAAACGCCTACAACTTATACTCGGAATGAGGGACCTCTGCAATTCCCACGACGCGAAAGTAAGAATACAAAAACTGGTATAAGTGATGATTTATTAACCCAAAACACTATGACGACGAAAACAACTCTAGTAGAAAATACACTCATTTATATATTGATTGTAAACCCATTTCCCTTAATAATTAGGATGCAATCACATACATGAAAAAATACTTCGAGTTATAACAAATCCTATAATGAGCATAGTTCATGTCAATGGGATAGAAGAATATCGCATATTATACAGAATAAAATATCATACGAGAAAAGAAATAAATAATATATTGAGTAATCATTACATTGAATCGAAACGGAAGTAATCTTGAACAAAACTCATGATGAGTAAATCAATCGAAAATTGAATTTTCTTTCCATCATATCAATATTCAATATTATAATTCACGCATTGACATATGTAGTTCACATGCGACTGGTTAGGCGACACAAAAAATTCACAGTCGTTTGACATGAAAATATTGTTAACTTGGAACTAAATCACTTAGATTAGTGGTTACACGACTCTTAGATTAGTCTGATGCAATCAGAACTAAACACTTTAAAACATGAATGTTAATTATCATTAAGTAATCAATCGCTATCTGATGATTAACTCATAGTAAAAATAATCAAAATTCGCATTAAAAATAAGAGGTTCTCTTTATTGTGGTTAATTTAACCTAAACATAGACTATTTTAAATACATTTAAAAAGAAATATTTATAATAAATCATGACATTAACTTCTTAGAACCTAAGATTCATCGCACAAAACCTATAAACCTTTGTTTGTTGTGATCCTGAAAAAGTGACACATGTATTATGTCGACGTAGACAGATTGTGAGATTTACTTAGGACATAAGTAACAACTTTATTTAATAATCAGCAAACAGAATGCACAGAAACAGTCAGTGAATCATCACTGTCATGCCACTTGTTACAATGGTTTCTGTGCTTAAGCAATGTTACGTTAAACTCTAGATTAATTAGACTGATTATATTAGTCGGTGTTAACTGACTTTATTTAACAGCTAACTTTTCCGCTTTAAAACCTTTTGAAGTACAATCTCGGATTAGTTATTTTATCCTTCATAAATTAAAACAGAATGTAATGCAAAGATCAACTTGATGTATTTGACACAGTCTGTTTAAGCAAAATATTTCGATTAGTTTGATCAAACAATTGAATATCATGATGTTTTATGTTAGAAATGAACAAAGGTTAATTCAGTAAATAAGCCATTATATAAGAGAGAAATAGTTCATATTATTACAAAACTCATATCATATATCCAAAATACTTATTAGAATAATATACATAATGGATTATCAACATGGATTAAGCATGACACCCAACTATTTTTAGACTTATTGACAATTTTGTTCATAATAACCGCTCCTACTGACCTACAAATAACCTCCTGATAGTTTTAACACAGAATCTTAAGTCTACCTTAAGGTCAATTAAATGACTTTCCTTAGAATGTATGTTTGGCTGTCGATAACCATTTTTCTCAACCTTGTATCAAACCTGAATTGTGATTTAATCAAAATTTAAAGTTAGTTCACCATACTTTTTATCAGTCTCAATTCCATGAATTGCTTACGTCACTTTGTTTATAGACACTGACAAAAGATCATGGTTATAATAGGTTATGACTAAAACATATTGAGTGAAGCAAAAATCAGTTTTCTAGAAAATAATTATAAACAACACTATGGTAATGAAGAACAACGTTATTTAAATTAAAGTAATGTAGAAAGGCTGTTCTTGGCTTTACATTTAGCATCAATGAACAATACGATACCAAATTTTCTAATTTAAATATCTTCCTATTTTATCGTCTTTGATGTCAACTTCTAACGTTTAATTAATACAATTTCAATCAACTCATAAATGGAACGAAAAAAGATTAAGTTCGTTAGTAGGTATCGATACCAGATGGGTTGAAAGTTAATAATAAATATATTTTTGTAATGTTATGATAAGTAGAAAATTGTATTTCCGATGTTTCGTAACTTAATTTCAGTTGTTTGTTCAGAGAACGCACTTTGTTTCTTAGTCGCTTATTCAGTAATCAGAGGTTAGATTCAATAGGTCTTTCAAGAAATTCATTATCAATATGGCTGATCAGAAAATAGTTCAGTATTTATTTCTCAGCTTTAATGTTCTCTCACTTACTAAAAATTGATCATTTAACACACCTCTACATAGTTCTATTTATGTATTGCAATGATGGAGGTAATTGCTTATGATAAGTACGCATTAAAAGAGAATTTAAAGTATGTTTAAAAAATGTTTTAGGAAAATGAATTATAATCTATGCCCATGAAAACGTTTTGCTAATAGTTAAGTACTTAGATACAAATACTTTTTTCAAGAATCGCATAGATGAAGCAAAAATGAATTAATCGTTTTTTCATTAGACTGACAAATGGTATGGTAGGTGTTGTTAGTAATAAATATAGAATTCAATCGTGTGTGTATAGTGAGTTAATTTTGGTCTCGATAGATTGAATATAGGTTTTTGATTATTGGAATTTAATTTTTATCATTTACTCGATAAGTAATACTGAATAAAGCCTCAGAGAGGTTATAAAGTTTTACTTAAGTCAGTCATAACCAAGTGATATTTTTTAAAATTGAAAAACCTTTGCAAACATTTCAACTGAATTTAGATTTTCACTGAGCAAGATCGAACCTATGTATAGTGTAATAATTGTTAGTCTTATATGGTATTTTAGGACATTTTAAATAAACAACAATTTTTGCGATGTTATAATCAAATAACTAATCCATATATTATTGTTTGTTGGCTGATTGAGAAACATCTAAAGAGTAACTATTAAGTGACTTTGAAGAACGCCATTAAAACCTTCATCAGAAAATGAAAAAGTAATTGCTCGCCTACATTCGGGACTCTAATTTATTTATTCTGTTGTCGGGAATAAAATGTTTATACTTGGTACCAGTTAATTGTAATCGATACCGATTGGTAAACAACATAAATTTCTATTTGAAGAACAGAACTAGTGAGTTGGATCAGTTGTAGCATTACCATAAAGAATTAAAATGATGAAAACGTATGTGAGCGTATGATTGATATTTACAAAGTATTACAGTCGATACAGAAATCGATGTTCAAGTGTAAATTCATTGTAATAAACATACTCGCAGAATATAGAATAAAAAGGATTCTACTGTTTTTAAAATTGTCATTCACCATAATTGTGATTTGATAACTATAGTTTTAAATGAATGAGTTTCAGATAAATAAAAGAGAAAGTGTTTTAGAATAGACAAATTTTTCAAACGTATAAACCTTTCTTTTAAATTTCACACGGCCTGATCATTATATTAACTAGTGAAACATCTGTAAAGTTAATATATAGTTGTGGTTGATTCTTTAGTCGGATACTCATATTAAGTATGGAAGAAATCAGTATAACAGAATGAAGTCGCAAGTGAACCTTTTATTGAATTCATTTAGATTTGTATAAATTTTGTTCACAACTTTCAGTATGGTTGTTCTTCATTTCCTTAGCTTATCGATGATAAAATAAGTGGTTTTTTTAAAAACACTATTTCACCAATTTGAAATCATCATGATTGAACACTTGAGGTAATACACATTCAATTCTCCTTTTAACGTTAGATTTTATGTGACTGAAGAATTGTCAGTATGTATCAGTCACTATAAAGTGTAATTTCGTAGGTTTCATTTAACTAATGTTAACCTTCTATTATATAAACACTTTTCATGTTATAATTCATTCAGCTGTTACTTACGCCTATTACCCTTCATGGAGAAAATAAACCTCTCACTAGCATTCATTAAGTTGTACTGAAAGCAACAAAAAAACAAATAATACAAATCAGTTTGTACATTATGATCTATTAGTATGTTTCTTACTTATTATTTATAAAACGAAGATATGTTAGTTTGTTAGAATTAGATAAATAAATTTTAATATTCATTTTGTGCACTACTCTTTACCAATAATATAATCATCAAAATGTTAAATAATTAAT